AAAAAAAAAAAGATGTCTCTCCAAAATATGAAACATACACCATTCTTATTACACTTGTTCTTCATTTTTCCATTCGAAGAATCCAATTTACATTTGACAGTTGATCGTCCGATTTTTGACATCAACAGTTCTCTTCTCTATTTTTTTTTTCTTCAGAATTAAGCTTGTTTATCGTATTCAACACTCGGATCTTTATCAATCGCAAGTTGTTCTCTCATTTAATTTATGAATATGGTTGCTTGGGTTGAGATGATTGATTGTGTTGAATTGAATATGTGTAGCTAAATTTAATTACTAGGGATAGAGAATTATTGTTCTTGTTTGTTCGTATTTTTTGGGCCTTGATTTTTTCCTTCTTGTGTGAGTTGATGTGAAAATGATTGTTAATTTCTTTGCTTGGAAGTTGGATATAATTGAAGAGTGACATTCCAATCTTGCAATTAGTGACAAATGAATATTATTCTTTCAAGTTAAGGTTTGTAATTCTAAACGATTAGTCGATTAACTATCTTCTAATTTATTTTAACAACTTTTAGAACCAAAATGGGTGAAGTTGTAGACTTAGGCTCGCATGAGATAGACAATTTTTTGAAAGAATAGTTTATAGGTCTTTGGATTGAACTACATGCTTATTTAAGTCATTTTCCTTGTTACGAAGAGTTATTGGGATCAGACTCTAGGCCGGTGTGTATCTTTGAACTTGTTTATCCATGTTCAATCCCTTGTTACATAAAGTTATTGAGAGCGAACTACTAGACGTTTAAGGGAGAACTTCAGTCTTGGACCGAACAATTAATTGTCCCGTTTTGCGTCTACAACTAGAATAAATTATCCCCCACTCCTAAGCCTCTTTGGCATCATTGATTCTTGTTTTTGGGTTGTATTCTGAATTTGCGTTGCTTGAGATTTCTAGTTGATAATTAAAACCAAACAATCTAAATTATAGTGTTTAGGATTTTGTTTTCCCTTTTTGTGATTGAGTAATCATGCAACATAATATGGCTAAACTTCATTGCGATAAGACCCAGGTATTGAATCTTTCGATTTAACCAAAACAATTACAATAGAAATAACTCTAAAAGATGCATATTTTCTCTCCTTTCTCGTCACAGTAATGACATTCAAAATATTCGGGGTCAGGGATATAATGGGGCAAGTAATGTACGTGATGAATTCAACGTGTTACAAGCACTAATTGTTAAAGAATGTATGTATGCATCATGTGCATTGTTTAGCCTGCAATTGACGTTCGTTGGAATACCTAGAGAAGTTATCTCAGTCCACCATTTTTTTAACAAAGTTAAATTCCATCATAAATGTGGTGGATTCTTCTTGTAAACGTGTCGATGAATTAAAAGTGGCACAAGCTTATGATATTTCTTACTTGATTTCTATTGATGAGCTTCAAAAGGGTCTAGACAAGTCAAATAGGTAGTTTACGATGAGCAGGAGATACGAGATGGGGTTCGCACTTAAAAGTCAATTTCTAGCTTATCGAAAATGTTTAGTGCAGCTTGCTCGGTTTTGTTGTGCATCATTGATGAAAGCAATTGTGATCAACGAGTCGATGCATATTTGACTTACATTTCTTTAACCTCTTTCGAGTGCGTCTTCATCTTGCATCTTATGAAAGAAATAATGAAAATAACTGATACGCATTTGTCAAGCTCTCCAACAAAAATCTCAAGATATTCTGAATGTTATGCATCTTGTTGGCACCATAAAGAGTCTAATCCAAAAACTGAGAGATGATGGATATATGACAATCTGTTTGACAACGTAAAGTCTCTTTGTGAAATTCGTGCGACAATATTCCTGGTGTTAATGATTTATATGTTGAAACAGGGAGATTATCTCAGAACAAGCAAATCTATTTATAGTCGGTGATCATTACTGTATTAATACATGGCAAAAAAAAAAAAAAATATCATGACAAAATGTAAATTTCTAGTGATTACTTTGTCTACCTGACAAAACTGGTTTCCTTAACAATATACATATGTCCATTATTCACATTTCTTTTCAATTCTTATAGGCCCAATGTAAAAAGTACTGAAATTCAAAAGCTTCATTTGGACTATTTTGAAACAAAAAAAAAAAAAAAAAAAATTGAAATTTGCATAACGTATGCATTTAAAAGATAGTTCATATGGTTGGTCCCAACGATTCCTCTCTTCCATGGGAGCAGGCGATACTCTAAATTGAGTGTGGAATTCCTTCTTCGCAAGCATAACTATTCTTACTTCTGGTGCCCTCTTGTAAGTCTCTTTGTTCTCACCCTAATTCGGCGCTGTCTTTTATCTGGTTTTACCTTTCTGTGTCTGGTAGGGTTTTTTCCTGTTTGACCTCTTTTCCCAGGTGTCACCTTTCTTCACCATTGTTTAACCCAACTTTGAGAAGAGTTTCAAAACATATTTCGTATCTTCTATTGCCATTCTGGCTCTTCGAGGATGGATTAAGATATCATCCATATATTGGGAAATTTTTATCTATCTGATAAGGAGGCAAATGTCATTGCAATTGAACCAGAGGATATCAAACTAAGTTCGGAGAAATGTAGAAGAAGCCTATTTGGAAAGATCATTGGGCATAAACGAGCTCACCTAGCCGGTCTTCGACGAATTGTTGGGTTGATTTAAATCCGAGCTTCTCTTACGAGCAAAGAGCTAAGCCCCAATTATTTCCATTTCACTTTTAGTGACCTTGCAGATAAGGCTAAAGTAGCCAGGGCATCAGTTGGAACTTTGAAAATCGACCCTTGCTATTTCGTGGATGGACAGAGGATATAAATGGTGAGCATATAACCTTTGCAAAACTAGATACTTGGGTCCAAATTTGGAAGGTTCTCGTCAATTGGATTTGAGCAAAAGTGGGGCTTAAAACCAACAAGGGCTTCAAGCAAGTGAAATATGTAATCATCCCTCAAGGGGAAAAACTAGCTGGAAAATGCATCAGGCTTTAAGTCACCATTGATATCACCCAACCATTAATGAGATGTGCTAGCATTCGACTATGCAGTTGGAAAATTGTGGTAGACTTCAAGTATGAAAGGCTTCCAAATATCTGCTATCATTGTGGCATTATTGGACATTTGGACAGAGCTTGTG